CTCAGTTTCACAAATTTAAACATTAAGCCTGCACTAAAGCACGGGTGGGTCCCGTGGGCCACAGTCAGAACTGATCCAACAGCCCCTTCCCCCATGAAGTTTATACAAGTAAATGAGATCCTTTGAAATCTGTTGATGCATGCAAATTTGTGGAGTAGCAGAGATTCTTCCGTGCCTTCACGAGGCGTTCTGGTGAAATGTTGGCTGCCTTCATCTTGCTCTGGTAGCTGCTGTGGGCTCATGGGAACAACGCCATGCTGTATCCAGAAGACAGCATCTCACAGCCCTACTCTTTACTCTCTACCTCTCATACTCCTTCCCTCCCTTCTCAGATGCTCCTTGAGGCTTGGGTGTGGGGCGTTCATGTAAATGTCCCATTTAGTCCTGACCGCTCAGCGGGTCACTTACTCTCACTATTTTGACTCTCTTTGACTCTGCTACCCATCGCAAAAGAAGTTTCTCTTACCAAAGGTGAGAGCAGCACTAATCTATGGGATTAAACGTCAGTATTTAGAAGGTAGTTTGACAACGTGTCCATTGAGCAAAACACAGTGGTGGTAGGTTTCCTGCTAGCAGCTATGACTTCACCAGTAATGAGCTCTTCATCAGGTTTCTAAGAGTTTCCTCATGTGGAGTCGGCCTCAATTCCATGCAGAAAGTGGTTGGTTATTCCTATGACCGCCATGCCAGTGTTACACCAGTAGGTACATCCTGCCTGGAAGGCTGGTATTGTAGCATGCAGGAACAGACCTCTCTCTCTCTTTCTCTCTCTCTCTCTGTTTCCCTCCCTCTCTTCTTCTTTCCCTCCCTCCCTCCCTCCCTCCCTCCCTTCCCTCCCTCCCTCCTTCCTTCCTTCTCTCCCTTCCTTCCTTCCTTCCTTCCTTCCTTCCTTCCTTCCTTCCTTCCCTTCTTCCTTTGAGACAGAGTTGTTTTTTTTTTTTTTCAGACAGGGTTTCTCTGTTGTTTTGAAGCCTGTCCTGGAACTAGCTCTTGTAGACCAGGCTGGTCTCGAACTCACAGAGATCCGCGTGCCTCTGCCTCCCGAGTGCTGGGATTAAAGGCGTGCACCACCACCGCCCGGCGAGACAGAGTTTTTCTACGTAGCCCTGGCTGTCCTGGAACTTGCTCTGTACAGTAGACTGGCCTTGCATTCCCAGAGATCCACCTGTCTCTGCCTCCCAAGTGCTGGGATTAAAGGTGTGCGCCACCACCCGGCTGGAACAGATCTTTCTAAGAGGGGTAGGAGAGTGACAGCTGGAGGGATGGAATATTAAAAAGACTTGCCTCTCCCTGGCTTCCTTTGAAGGTGGAGGCAGAGCCCTGATCTGGAAGAAGCTGGAAAAGCAGGAAGCTGATTCTCTCCAGAGCCTCCAAGGGCCCTACCCATCCAGCACCTTTACTTTAGCTCCGAGATACACATTGCAGACTTCTGGCCTCCAGAGCTTCAGGACAATACATCTGTGTTGTGTAAACCGCCTAGACTGTGTTTTTCTGTTCCAGCAGCTCCAGGATATTCATGCAGCAACCTGAGCTGAGGCGGAAGGGTGGGACCTTCAAATTTCCCTCCCTGGAACTTCACCACTCTGTGCCTACTCAGGCCTAGTTAGGCTGAAGGCAAGCCCCGTTGTGAGGACTGTGCCTCTCATAGTCCCTGAGCCCACTGAACCCTTAGCATGCGGGGATTAATAATCTCTCTAGGAGCAGGACTCTGGGGGGTATAAAAGCTTGCTTTGTCCTCCCTGGTACCAGGCTGTGTGTCCCATAAGAGGAGGTATCAGGCTGGCACCTTGGCATTATTCCTGCCCGTAGTTCCAGATTGGTCTTTATCCACACACAGGATCTGTTTAGGAGACAGAGAAGAATATTGTTCTCTGTGTTCAGTGACGTGGGTGGGAGTTGAAAATTCCCAGTCCTTTTGTCTTAATCCAACACTTTTTTTCCTTCAAGACAGAGTTTCTCTGTATATCCCTGGTGTCCTGGAACAGGCTGGCCTTGAACTCAGAGATCTGCCTACCTCTGCCTTAAAGGCTTGTACTACAATGTCTAGCTCTTAACACAGCATTTAAACAAGTCAAAATGACTTAAAAGAACCTGTGATTAAAAATACGAAAATTTATTATTTTTTTGTGATACTGGTGATGGACCTTAGGACTTCATTTATACTAGGTGGGTGCTATGCTGCCATAATATCCCCCTAAGCCCTTATTTATCTATCTATTTGTTAATTTATTATTTAGAGACAGGGCCTCCTGTAGCCAAGGCTGGCCTTAAACTTGCCAGGTGGTTAAGAATGACCTTGAACACTCAATCTTCTTGCCTCCACCTCCTAAGTGCTAGGATTATAGGCGTGTGCCACCGCTGGCTAGTGTGGTGTGAGGGATCAAACCTAGGGCTTTGTGCCGGACAGTCAAGCGTGCTACCAACTGAGCTCCTTCCCCGGGCCTTCCTTGCTTTTCTTTTGAGATAGTTCACGAAGCTGTTCAGTGTGACCTTGAGTTCACTCTAACCAAGGTGAGCTTTGAACTTGAGAGCTTTTTGACTCAGCTTCTGGAGTAGCTTCCAGGCCTCAAAGGCTAGACTTGACTTTTTTTTGGCTTGGTTTAAAATAATAATAATAATAATAAATAATTGAGTGTGCATGTATATGTATGTGTTCATGTGTGTGTGTGTGTGTCTTTGTGTACACATGTGTGTGTGTGTGTGTGCATATGTGTGGCCTCAGGTAGAGGTTGGAGGATGACTTTGTGGAATCTTTTTTCTCCTTCTAGCCTCACAGGGGTTGAGTTGTCAGGCTTGTGCCGCAAGCTCCTTTACCCGCTCATTCATCCTGCAGGACCCCAAATGCCTCTCTGTAAATGAACAAACACTACTGTCTTTGCTTTCTCAAGCTCTAGGGTGGCTCCTCATAGCCCTGATTGTGGACCTGGTTTGACTGAAGCTCTCCAAGGAGGGCGTAGCCAGTGCTCTTTTGGGTTAGCCCCTCTCCACTTACCATCTCAGGTCCTCAACCTAGTTAGGTATGCTTTCTCACCCCTTCCTACTGCCCGGATGTTGACCCCAGTTTATTTTATTTTATTTTTTTTATATTTATTTATTATGTATACAATATTCTGTCTGTATGCCTGAAGGCCAGAAGAGGGTGCCAGACCTCTTTACAGATGGTTGTGAGCCACCATGTGGTTGCTGGGAATTGAACTCAGGACCTTTGGAAGAGCAGGCAATGCTCTTAACCACTGAGCCATCTCTCCAGCCCTGTTGACCCCCAGTTTAATACGCGGCCTGAGCCCTCTGTATTGGAAGCCATTCCTGTCTTCCAAGTGGGGTGATGTGCTCATGCAGTTCAGCCTTCCTGAGTCCCGCTTCCTTGGTGGTTTGTAAAGTAGAGTGATACCGAAGGCGTGGAGGTCCTTGTGCTCACAGATAAGCACCACGGGAACCTGGAACGCTCATAGGGTTGTTCCTTCAAGGGAGGGGATGTGATTACCCTTGCAGAAGGCTGGGATCAGATGTGCATTCTAGCCTGGTGACCTTTGCACTGTGTAGCCAGAGACCACCCTGGACCCTCCCCAGGGCCCTTATCGTAAGCCTGCTTTTCTCAGTCTGTGGAACCTATCACCTTCCATAAAAATGGGTCCTATAGATCGAGGAAAAGCTTTACATGCTTTACAAAGAATTTCGATGTAGTCACGTCTGATCTTTATTTAGTTTGCTTTGTTCCTCAGAGAGATTTATGTGTGCTTTATTGTACACATGGGACCGAATTCATTAGCACCAGAAAAGTTTTCATCCAACTGTGCTGTGCTTAAATACGCCTAAAATAAACCACTCTGGGTCAGGCTCCGGAGTCTGAACTCACATCCGCTACTTAGTCATGTTGAACTCAACTGCTGTCTTCCTTCCCGGAGATTATTTCTCATTTGATGGCCTTGGTGGTCAAAGTGACCCCGCAGGGTACTACTGGGACCCGCCTCCTAGTGCGGCCTGAAGAACTACTAAGTTGTGGGCAACGAGTGTTGTGGGGACTTGGGGGGCAGACTGTGAGGCTCTCATTGCTTTGTGCAGCATTTATCAGATGCATCTTCCAGTCCTTGCTGCTGGTAACCCAGGAAGTCACTCCTCTGGGATCCCAAGCCTTCAGGGCCAAGGTTCTCTGCCCCTGTTCTTGGTGCTCTCATCACCTGCCAGGGCCACACACAGGCAGCTGGAACGCAGGGATGTCTGGTGATACTTGGATGTGTGTCCCAGGCTGAGGAACAGAATCCTCTCCAGCCTTGCCCGGAAGACCCTGGAAGACCTGGGAATGATTTGTATAAATCCTGAACTGGACAGAAGCAGCTGGTTTAATACCCACGGTGAAGAGATGTTGGGAAGGCTTTGCTAAGGACGGTGACCACAGGGAGGGGAGCGCAGGCTGGGGTGCACAGATGAAAGCCCAGAATCATGGAAGCATACAGACGCTTAGGAAGAGCAGAAACCAGAGCCGGATTTGGCCAGTTTCTTTGTTGTTTTCTGTCTCCTTTCAAATTTTTCTGTGTTGTGTATATTTTGTTATGGGTAAGAAAAAGACAGAGGGTGTTTTGCTTTGAACAACATGCTTTCATTGGGAGATCTGGGAGATGGCTTGTTAAGCTCTGTGCCTCAGTTTCCCTATTTGTGAAACTCCTAGGGAGGCCAGGAGGATCCCTCAGGACAACGTGTGAAGTAGCGCTGTCCCTGGAGGATAAGACTCTCTCCAGATCTCCTTGGGGACATCTGGACTGAGAGCTGGCCCCTGCTGCTCAGGGTGTGTGGCTGGGGCTGGGCGACGGGTGAGCATCCCAGCTGCTGACAGTGCAGCCTCCCGTCAGAGCTGAGCATAGGCATTTTGGGAAATCCCTTAATGCCTCTATTCTGTGCAGGCGTATATAGGGCGGACCAGAACGCTAGCTCTCCACTGCACTGCCCAGAGGCCTTTGCCTGACTCGCTGCCAGCCTCCGGTCCCTGTGCTGCCAAGAAGAACATGGACGTCACCATCCAGCACCCTTGGTTCAAGCGTGCCCTGGGGCCCTTCTACCCCAGCCGTCTGTTCGACCAGTTTTTCGGCGAGGGCCTTTTTGAATACGACCTGCTGCCTTTCTTGTCTTCCACCATCAGTCCCTACTACCGCCAGTCCCTCTTCCGCACGGTGCTGGACTCTGGAATCTCTGAGGTAAAATGCCGCCACCCTGGCCTCTTGCTGGTCAAAGGGGTCTTGTGCTGGTCTAGAGCACAGCTAGGGATCCACTACCACCCTGTGCCCTCCTCTAGCATTGCCTCTGCCTCTCCCAGCCTCATACCCATCCAGCAGAGGCTGGGTAGTCCCACAAGCCTAGCCGTCACAACCTCCCACGTCACTGGGAAAGGGGCCGGAGGAGGAGACCTGCCTGGGCCCAACTGCTGTCTTTTCCTCCCCTCAGCTCATGACCCATATGTGGTTTGTAATGCACCAACCACATGCTGGAAACCCCAAGAACAACCCCATCAAGGCAAGTCATGTGACAAAGGCAAGCGTCCTGAGCTGGCCGCCCCTCCCTGAACTTTCTCTTTTGGGGTGGGGGTGGGATGTACCGCCCAAAGCTCAGAGAGGAGGGGTTTCCTTACAGAGGGGCACGAGCCTCTGTAGCTGGCAAAAGCTGCGGATGGAACTTCCTTCTAGCTTTCCTGATAGCCAAAGAAAGGCCACAAGGCCGTCTCCCTCCCTACCCAAGTGATCCACAGTTCTAGAAGAGTTAAGCCTCCCTTTGCTTTAAAAGAAGGCTCCCAGAGCAGATCCAGCCAGAGTTCTAGGATGCAAACTGCCCAAACACAGGCTCTAGTCAGGGCAGAGGGAGGAGAGCGCAATGGGCTTTGTGTGGGCAGACAGCGGTGATTTGAAGCTATTAGTAGCATCACGTGGACAGGTGAGGTGGGCTCCTGGGGCTGTTGAGAGATTGCAGACTTTTATCCTACCAGCTAACCAGTTCCCAGCCAGCCAGGAAAACAATCCCCAGTGAAACCACCAGGCCTTGATCAACCACAACCAATCAGCTATCTAATAGCTTAACTAGCTACTTCACATGCTAAGACCCACCCAGCTCATTACCGGCTTAACTTAATCAACGAGCTACTTAACGTGTTTAAGACCCTCCCAACTCACGATCAGCCACTAGGCCATAACCAAACAACTGGTCAACTTGTAAGTAGCCTTCTGACAACGACCAACCAGCCAGCAAGCCACTCATTCATCAGCCAGCCATCCTACTCTAACTAGTCTTCCAACCTATAACCAATTAGCCAACCACCCTATAATCAGTTGGCGGACCTAGCATTGCCCAATCTTCGGGTCCGGGGGTTACAGGTGCTCTCACCTGTGGGGCCAGGTGAGCGGTTCCACCTCTAGGCTTACTCGGCCTGTGGAAGTAGGAGCTATGATGACAAGGTTGATTGTCGGTTCTGATGGGTGGGTACCTCCCTGTCTGGCCTCATCCACCCAGAAGGAGTCACACAGCTGCCCCCCCTCCCTTTGTCACTGGAGCTGGCGGCCCTTTGGGGAGCTCCACATGTGGGTTTGGGTTTCAGGTCCGATCTGACCGGGACAAGTTTGTCATCTTCTTGGACGTGAAGCATTTCTCTCCTGAGGACCTCACTGTGAAGGTATTGGAGGACTTCGTGGAGATTCACGGCAAGCACAATGAGAGACAGGTGAGTTTGGGTAGTATCCCCATCTATGTGGGCCCTGTACCCCCAGAGAGACCATGGGAGGCTGCCCTGGCTCAGCTGCTCCTTCTGGGACCTTCCCGAACCATGGAGGTCACTGTGCTCAGCCCCGGCAGGGCCAGGCAGCAGCGGGTGCGGGGCTCAGGGATGCAAGATACCCTTGTATTGGGCACAATTCCAGCTGTCCCCCTGGGTCTTCTGTATGACAGGGGATTAGAAAGGACCTCTGGAAATGAGAATGATGAAGGCAGTAGCCCCTCTGAGCCATATGCAACCTGACTGGAGAAAAAGAACCCCAAGTGCTGAAGTCAGAACAAGGCTTCCCTGACCCTGGGCCAGGCTGCAGAGTATACCTCCTACCTCTTGGCCTTTGTTCCTAGAGATGGGGGATATTGGGTTCAGGAAGCTGAGTCTGAGGGGCCAGGATTCCAGAGGAAGTGAGTTCTCTGTCTAACTGAAGTTTTCTGTGGGGTGGGACCGCTGCCACCCTGGTCCTGGGCAGTCCCTGTGGGTCCAAGGGGAGGGGAAGCTGGGAGGAATATAGAACCTAGGACGGCAGTGATCAGGAGTCACAGGGTAGGGTGGCTGATGGTTGAGGAAGAATCTGCAGAAGCCCATTTCACAGCACGGGCCCTGAGCAGACCCACTCTCTGTAACTGGCCTTTGCCAGTGGTCCCTTGGAGGCTTGCTATAATTCCAGGGTTGAAGGAGTCTGGTTGCAAGTCTGTGAATCTCATGGTGAAGGGGCTAGGCACTGGTGCTCTGGTCCTAAAGCCCAGCCCTCTGAGACCACCTGGACCCTGGCCATCTTGTGTGGTCTAAGATGTTCTTTTTCCAGTGTGGGATGGTGGTGGCCACTGAGAGCCCTCTCATCCCTGACCATGCTGTCCTCCTCCCCCGGCTGTCCCCAGGATGACCATGGCTACATTTCCCGTGAGTTCCACCGTCGCTACCGTCTGCCTTCCAATGTGGACCAGTCTGCCCTCTCCTGCTCCCTGTCTGCGGATGGCATGCTGACCTTCTCTGGCCCCAAGGTCCAGTCTGGCTTGGATGCTGGCCACAGTGAGAGGGCCATTCCTGTGTCGCGGGAGGAGAAGCCCAGCTCAGCACCCTCGTCTTAAGCAGGCCTCACCTTGGTTGTCCTGAGGCCCCTGACCCCTTGAGCCCAGGGACCACAGCAGAGTCTGCCTTGCCTTCCTCCCTTCCTTTCTGTTTCCTTTCTACTTTTCTCAGAGGGCTGAGGGTTTGAGAAAGTGACTTAGAGAGCTTGGGGTCTTGGCCTGAGGTGCTGCAGGTTCAGGGTGACCCAGGCTCAACACCAGCCAGCTGGAATGATGGCATTGAACTCTTGAGATATGACCTGGCCCCCTGGGATGTGGCTTCTGAGCTCTGCGGCAAAGCGGAGTGGGTGGCGGCTAACCAACTCTGAGAGCCCTCTGCTGAGCCCCTGGATGGCCACCTCCCTTCTTGCTCACACTTGCTGCAGGCTCGTGTGTTGAGCTCCGACGGCCCACTTTTCTCAGCCCCTCTTCCTGCAACTTTCTCTATGTAGCGTTGCTCCTGGGGGACCCTGGTCACCCATGAGAATGGAGCCTCTGGCAGACAATAAAGAGCAGGTGACAGAAGCAACTTGCAGTCTGGTGTTGTGCTGTTTCCCTTTGGGGTAGGGGGGTGGGCACCCGGGAGGGTGTGGTCAGCATCTCCTGCCTGTCCCGAGCAGGTTTTTGGCAACCTGTCCGTCTCTCAAGTCCTCTGTAGCTAGCTCAGTGGCACCGTGTCCTGACCCACGCCGGAGGTGTCAGGTTTCCTTTCCCCTTCCCTCACCAGAGCAGACAGGACTTGGAAGTTCATGTCTACCCAGAGCAGGCTCCTGCTCTCTGTTCAGATCCATTTACAGTGCTTTGTAAATACATTCCCAGCATGCCCCTACCTTCTTCATCAGAGTCTGGAGAGTGAAACTGCTCTATTGTCCTTGCCTGAGGTCACACAAGTAGAGGAGATCCTGGAATACCAGTGGGAAATTCCCTAGAAAAATCTCCCTGGATGCTGCCTTGCTGGAGGCACCGCTCTATAGTGGTACCTGTTCCCCCTCCACTCAGGACACCTGGATGTGGCTGTGTGGTTCCAGTGTAAGAATCATTTGTGAGCCCTTCCTGGAATTTCAGTCCCACCTCAGGGAATTGTCCTTGCTATAGTCATCACCATCGTCACCACACGATGATGTCATCATCATTATAATCATCATCACTATCATCATGATCACCACCAACATCACGTCCATTGGCATCATCATCACCATGATGACATCATTACTATCATCAGTGCCATTTTCATCATCACCACAATGACAGTATCATCACAGCCTCCATTATATCACCATGATGACATCACCATCATTATCACTGCCACCATTACTGTCATCATTTTCACCACAATGACATAATCACCATCATGTCCTTCTTGTCTTCAATGCTATCATCATAACTGAAAGAGGTATGTTCCTCCCCTGGACCCTGGTCTGACACCCGTGTTTGCTAAAGGTTTAGATGAATCTCCCTAAGTGAAACAGGAGGTAAGACAATTGCCTTTGGGACTGCAGAACATGGAAATGTAAAACCTGTCACAGTGGGGTTACAACCTTCGAGATGGCAAAGCAGGAGGCCCTAAAACCTGCCACACTGGTGATTAACTCGGGACACCAAATGTGTCCTAATCTTAAGACTGTGCTGCCAATCTCATTGGCTGACCGCTGGTTAAACTCTTTTGTAAATGTGCAGTTCTGCTTTTGTGACTTTTGTGAACATTTTGTCTGTGCTGATTGGTTGACCTGTGATTGAAGCCGACACCTCTGTATTCCCTATAAATTATCTATGTATCTCAACATGGAGGCCACTCTCTTCTCCTACTCCAGTGGGGAGTGAGGAGGCCTGTGTCATAATTTTTTTACTTTTGCAATGCTACTGCCTCTAAAAGAGTCTTAGATCTAAAATTGGGGATATAGCAATAACTACTATCACCACCACCTCCATCACCACCACCATGATGTTACCATCATTACCATGACAATATCATCAATGACACCACCACCATCATTGACACTCTAATAATAATTGCCATCACCCTCCGTGATTATATCATCATCATCATTATTACCATTGTCATCTCCATGGCTATTATCACCATTATCATCACCACTGTGATGATATTGTCATCACCTGCCATGACACTCTCATCACCTGTGAATCATAAAAAGAAATAAAAGAAGGACATGATTGCTCCTTCTTTTTATTATAGATATAAGGAGAACACAGGCAAGGGCAGAGACATCTGGGAGAGTCTAGAGTAAACACGGCTGGAAAACTGGACCAGGCTATGTGAAGGGATGGGGAAGAAGAGAGGGGAGAGCCAGGAAGCCAGGAGACCAAGAGACCCAAAAAGGACTGGTAGCCAAGATGGCTGAGGTTATGTAGGGAAGAGCAGCTGGGGGATGGGCAGCCACTGGGCGGGAGGGTCTAGTGTGAGGGTGAGGCATCCCAGCCAGGATGGCTCTGTAACAGGTACTGGCTCTCAGAGACAGGCTGGTGGATAACGTCTGCTTTGATATATTAATAGGCACCTCAGTTCGCTGTTTGTCCCAGGTTTGAGACTTAACAACCTGAGGAGCTCATTGCCATCATCATTACCACCAAGGTCGTCATGACAACACCGTCACCACTACCACCAAGGTCGTCATGACAACACCGTCACCACTACCACCAAGGTCGTCATGACGACACTGTCACCACTACCACCAAGGTCGTCATGACGACACTGTCACCACTACCACCAAGGTCGTCATGACGACACCATCACCACTACCACCATCCTTCTTCTAGGTCCCTTTCTGCTGTTTTAGTAAAACTCTGGCTAAAAGCAACTTACGAGAGGGCAAGGTTTACTTGGTTTACACTTCCACGTCATAGTTCATCATTGGAGGAAGTCAGGGTAGGAACTCAAGCAGGAACACGAAGCAAAAATCCTGGAGGATGTTGTTTGCTGACTTGTTTCAAGGCTCACACTTAACTAGCTTTCTTACACAGCCCAGGACCACCTACCTGGGGAATGGTACCACCCACAGTGGGCTGTTCCCCCCACCGACCTTAATTAACAACTAAGACAGTCTCCCACAGACATAGCCATAGGACAATCTGATAAAGAGATTATTACTCACACGAGACTCTTCCTCTATTCCCCACCCTAGGCTCTGCCAAATTGATAAATAATGCGCTATCTAGGACAGTCACCGCCATGATGGTATCAGTTCCATGGCCATCGCCAGCAGCAGCATGGTGGTGTGATCAGAGTTAGAGCAGTAGGGGTGCACTTCTTAACAGAGGACCTACTGTGTGCCCAGTAGGGTGCTGGTCACACTGGAAACTGGCAGTCCACCCGCTACTTACCCAGAAGCCGGTGACTTGGTCATTTATATTAGGTGACATAATCCTAGCTCTGAAATGGAGTCATTTGCCTTGTGTTGCCCGTCGGTGAAGGTTGGGATGGAATCCACGCTGACCTCAAAGCCAGCACTCTGGATCCCCAGGTGAAGATTATTATAGCATCACCGGAAATCTGCAGGCTGGGATCTCTGGGGACAGCAGGTAGATGCTGGTCCTGCTCTGTTCAGGGATTGCTTTGTGGCTGCAGGCTGGTTTTTCAGTCCTAAAATAATCAGGTTCCCCGTATTTGTTTCAACTGGCCTCGACCTCACAGACTTTTGTCTACTAACCACTGGTGTGTCACAGTCTCATCACCAGGTGGCAGCAGAGGCCTTGCCTCAAAGACAAGACTTTGGCCGCCAGCGACTCGAGAACACCAGCCTTAGGGGTCACCTTCACCGGTCCAGGCAACAGGGAGCAGCCGCAATAAACAACCGCAGGGCCTGGCTCTGGGGGCCTCTGCCCGTGTGACAAGGAACTGTAGGAGCCCTGGCCCCGTGACAAGGAACTGTAGGAGCCCTGGCCCCGGAGTCTTGGCCATCAGGGAGCCTGAGCTGGAGACACACAAAGGCCCTGTGGGGGTCAGTCGCGTTTCTGTTTAATGAGTCTGCAGGAACAATCTTTCGAAGGAGAGGTCACCTAACACAGGCCAGCACCGTGCAGCTAGGCTGCGGCTCCTGCGCGCGCACTGATGCGAGTTGTGAGCCGGCTGGGCCCCAGGGGTTACAGCTTCTCGCTGGGAAGCCTCTGGCAGAGGCTGTCAGAACAGCTTCCTTCCGGCCACAGCTGCAGAGACCCGTGTGGGGGCAGGGAGGCCGGGAGAGAGGGGCCTAACTGGCGGCCTCAGCTGACTGACACAGGTGTTGAGAGCACTCGTTCTGTCGGCCTGGCTCGGCTAGCTGTTGCCGGCAAGAACAATGAGCCCAGGGACTTAAGCTTCCACGTGGGACGGTCCCAGCTTAGAAGGAAAGGCACGAAGGGAATGCTGGAGGCTGGGGACAGGGTCTGCTTGCTCCAGGACATCATCCTTTCCTGCAGGGTCGAACTCCCCACCCCTACCCCATACCCCCAACCCTACCGCACCCCTGCATCATCTCACTTCAGGATGCTTGAGAAGGAACCCCATTCAGGCTGGAGGCTCAGCAAGGTGGTGGGCTCAGCCCTAGGCTGTAGCTGTCAGGAGGTCCCTCAACCTCTGCGCCCCCTCCCCCACCTCCTCACTCTGAACCTTCCCACCTCCTCCACTTCCCTACCCCTGCCAGGCTGCTGTTGTTAGCTGAGAGACTGGGAGCCCCAAGGATGCCGGCTGAGGATTGAGTTTACTGGAGGGGCAGGCAGACCACAAACCTGTGTGTGTGCAGGCTGTCATTGTTAGAATAGAACAGAAAGAAAAACATGCATGCAGGCACACATAAGTCATGCTACAAGCATGCATGAATATACACGCAGACACATGTGCAAGCACACACACGCACACACACACACACGCACATACACACGCCCCACAGCCACACTTTGGCTTCTGCTAGCTGCCTCATCGTATTAGCTTCATTCTGTGCCTGACTTGTACTTGAACTAGGAGCATACAATCACGCAGATTTTGTTTTCTGTTTTTCTAATGAGGAAAATACCTCTCCCTCATATTC